GTTTGGAATATCGAGCAAGGGCAATCGATCGACAGTGCACTTCCAGTTAAACTATTCTGTGTTTCCTTGTTTGGCAGTTCACAGACGACGGCCATTTGTCGTTTAATAAACGCGCTCTGTCTACTGCAACATTGGACTACCGTAACAAAAAGCGAAATGAAATTGGATACAAATTTGGTGATCAGATATCGCAGATAACGTCTAATTGTAGCAAATGTAGCAGACATACAGTATACTCGGATCCAATAAGGAAGCCGTGATCTCAGAAAGTTTTGCAAATAGTATGTTAGTATATTTGCTAGGCGAAGTTTCCATTTCATCAGTGGGTAATTCCCTAGGTCCATTAGTGAATTCATAACCGCTGTATCAAGTGATGCTCACGGTTTCTGGTTTAGTGGTTAATATACTGTAGTGTTGCACGGAAACTGTTGTGGCGCGCTGCTTGACTTTGAACTGGTGTTTACGCTGCGCTTTCATTTGCCTTGCAGGAACCTGGTCGTGTGCTTTAACGGAAGAAGTGCAAGCAGAAAAAGATTGACTGTAACGTTTATCTTCCTTTTTTATAACATTATTTCCTCTATTGTAGTTTGCTACGTGTTGCTTAATAAATCTCCAGTTCCAATCTCCGGAGTTCTCCCAAGCTTGCATATTACAATACCACCCGTCAATCACAAAGTACCGGCCCAAGTACTACATACCTACGTTCATCACCTGGCCAGTCGTGGACGCAGATTAACCAAGTCGTCCTTACTTACCGTTGGCGAAGCCGCATATGATAGTGCGAATTAATTTCCTTTTCTTGCCTTTCACCGGATAAGCGGCTGTTTATACTAAAGTCGTTATCCTTTTATTGAGATCATGTGTAACGTATGGATTCGGCGCGGATACCGAAACAGCTGTTGTATTGCCAACTGAGTGCAGCGAAGCGGCATACGGGGAAACCGAAGTTAAGTTACCTGGACACGATCAAAGTGAATCTATCAAGTTCTAATGTTGATTACAGGTGTTGGGAGTCGAAGGCGGTTGATCGGCGTACATGGCGCGACCTGATCACGAAGGCAGTTGCCGAGGTGCAGAAGAAACCCCTCGTGCACACAGGAAAAGCGGCAAACACAGAAGCGTCAGTCACCCATGGGGTGTATTCCATCTACCTCGAGCGCATAGTGCTATAGCACATGCGGTCGCGAGTACGTGACTCAGGCAGGTCTAGTGAGTCACAAGCGAGACCAGTCGGGACCAGCATCAAACGATGACGGGTCCTGCTGAGAACGTAGGCGGAACCGGCGCAGCGTTTGTAGGTACGCTGCATTCGATTTACTAACGGTGTTTGCGTGCTGAGTGTTTATTTCAGCTAGTGGTTTTGCTATATTGTCTTAATGCTTATTTTCTTACCTCATTTTAATGTCTACCCGAGTAAAGTAATGAATTGCAAAAGTCGCTTAAACGAATGGTGATTACCTCCTTTTTCTCCACTTTGCATATGTGTTGATTTGTTTATCTGCCATCTTCAATTTATCGCGACTGTGTTGATAATCCATTTATATCATGTGCTAATTTAGCGGCAAATCCGTATGGTTTTTGACTTATTTTATTGGTTTTTCATTTCATGTGATTGGCTGCTGTTTGACCTCCTCAGTGTAGCTGCGCTTGATGTGCATGTTGACAGGGTGCCTGTCTGTCTAGTACCCACTACCTCGTCCATACTGGCTCCAGGAGACACTTGGTCGTTGCTGGAGGGGATGGGCTGCGCGGTCCTCGTGACCGTGCTAGGCTTGAAAAGTAGTTTCATGTACTCAGTGTGGAGTGAACTACGGTCCAGCCACCGCCTTGTGTGCGCTTGATGCCCCAAATACATCGTGCTTGTGTTTGCCTGTGAAGGAGTGTAGGCCGGCTCCGTTGCTGTAACGTGGCTCCCATCCACATGCATCCCGGTCTTATTCCTTCGACTTTATACTAGAAACGGTGTGTGTAGTTGGAGCTGTGGGCGGTGCAGCGCAAGCCACCCATGATCCCTCTGTAGGCGCGGGCGTTCTATGGAGACCACACTGACAGGCGAATCCGGAACCGGATGCCGCCAACCATGATCTTATTGGTATAGAATAGTCGCCAGAAATGGCTTGACGTAACTACGCAGGCCACTCTAAACATTTTACGTGCCCTTAAAGACAAATTAGCTGTAAACTATAAAGACTTAAAATTATAAGGCGTCGGGGCGAACTGAGTTTGGTGCGTCATTCACAAGTTTAGCGTAATGCTTCAGTGTTGAACACAAAAGGTTGTCAAATACATGATCGCGGCATGCCGGTCGTAGGCGCTGAACAGGTTCCTGTCTACAGGGTTACGAAGTCAAAGACAGACACTTCAAGAGCATCATCGGGCCTGTGAACACTCACTAAATTCGTCAGGGAACGTTGAAAACATGTTATCGAGCTTAGTAAACACCTATCATGATTACATTAAGTCCAGACCAGCCAGTAATGGTATTTTACAAGTGAACAAATGCAATCACTTAGAGTTATGGTTAAACTGAGTTAATTATCTCTAAGCCGGATAAAGGCTCCGGTATAGTTCTAATGGATAGAACTGATTATGTTAGTAAGATGCAACATATTCTAAGCTATGAACGTAAGTTTTAAAAGCTAACAGTAGAAAAGGCTGATACGGAAGAATTAGTAAGGCCGATTTTCTCCGACAAATGGTGAGAGCGAGTTACCACAAAGTGCAAATTCGAAAAGCTGAGACCTTCAAACAGACATCTACCACGGTTGTACGGTCTCCCTCAATTTCACAAGGAACGCACTCCAATGTGTCCCACATTGGACATGGTTAGCTGTCCGCAACATTTGATAATTCAATGGATGGTTGCGAAACTGTAACTGCGTGTGACATTTTCGAGTTTATTGAGATAAGGGAAGTGAACCTTAACACTAGATAAATCACATCATTTAACGCTCAGTCGTTATTTACGAATATTCCGTTATTTGAAACAGTGGAATATGTTTGCGAACAAGTAAGGCAACTGAATGTACCTATAAATCTCCCGGAAAACATTCTGAAGGAGATGTCTCGTCAAATTGATGGAGTTGCCATGGGATCACCATTGGGACCCCTTTTAGCAGATGTAGTTATGGCAAAATTGTAGCATAACTCATTAAGAATACACATCAATAAAGTCGAGATATATGTACGTTCTGTGGAGGACGCATTTATACTGAAACTCGAAAGCGCAGGCTGTGAAGCTGTGGAAAGCCTTTAATGACGCTCATCAGAATCTATAATTCACCTGTGAACACGAGTCCGGAAATCCACTACTGTTCCTAGACGTTGATATCATCAGAAGCATCGATGGATCGTGCAGCAGAGCAATACATGGAAAACCATCTTGGACTGGACAGTACACCAACTTTTGTAGTGCGGCACCACTATAGTACAAATGAAAGCTAGTCCGCACACTTACCTTCCGGGCACACAGAATTTGCACACCGGACACAATCACCAAGGAATTGGAGAGAATCAGTGTCGCTTTAAGAGTGAATCCAGATAAATTCATTCCCAAATATTTGAAAGGACGCAAGATAAAAACCACCGAGGATAAGTGTACCCAAGAAAGAACTAATTGTGCCTTTTCTTTTCAAAAGCGACAGTGCGGCTGATGTCCTATCCAAAGGTCTGCAAGACGCTGTTGAGAAGTCTTATTTCGCGGCTCGCCTACGCATAGTATACAACAACAGGCCTTTATTCGCAATATCTGTGAAAAACAGACTGTCTCCGGTGACCTGATCAATGCTTGTCTATCAGTACTCGTGCACCTGTGGCGCACGATACGTGGGTCGTACAACGAGGCGCCTATCTTACAGGATTCGCGAAGACATTCCAAGTGGTTTTAGAGGCATTTCTTCCCAAAACTCGCAGGTGTGAGCCACTTAATGTACATCAAGTAAAGCACTTTTGACAGCAACTCAGGTAACCAGAAGCGCTAGCCGGCTGCGCTGAAGACGTTTGAATCATTCACTACCATGCATAAGCTTCATTCGTTTGTTTTCTTAAAATGTCACTGATCCTCTACCCTAAAAGATAACTCACCGACTCTTGTCAAAGATGGAGACGCGCTCTTTATCGGTGGGCTAACCTCCGTTCTCTTGAGATATCGAACCACTTAGGAAACCTAGTCCGAATGTGAATAGCTTGCGGTCCCATGCCTTTGATGCCCCGTTCTCTCACGGAACTAATTTTTATACATTCACTTGCATTCAGTAGCTCTATACAGTAAGTGGTTAGCTAGAGGATTAAGCTCCACATCTGATCATATCTTAACAAGTATGCCTCGCACCGTCTTTAAGAGACCATTTACTTATTTATTTCGTCACCAATCCTACCACTTGTTTTTCCACAGTCCAACAAGAACCACGATAGTAACCACGCTGTAATTTAGGTACTCACCTAGCGCTTCATTCTCACTCGGAACTGTTCCCTTCAGACTCTCTAATTGGCGCAAGACTATAAACATCCAACGTCGCATGCGGCAGCTGCAATTATACAGCCCGTGTGCGTCCAAGTCATTTTTGCACGGGCGGCATCTAGCAACTGCCTACTCATTGAACAGGAACTGACTCGCAATCGGGGGCACATAACCGCCTGATTATGTCCTTACCTAAAATTGCAGTGAAAACCGGCCGTCCTGTCGTCCATATTTTCCAGCCTGTCTCAATAACAGGTCAGTTGATTTAATCCGTGTGACAAGTCGGATCCCTGGCTGGATGAACGCTAGCACATTAGGTCATCGTCATCTATGTATTATTAGGAATAGGTTTTAAAAAGTCACATACGCGAAGCAGTTGCAGCTTCGAAACAAGCACTAAAGTTGTTCGAATGAGGAAAGGAAACTCTAGTGGCATGATACACTATGCCCAGGATAAGATCACTCGTTGCCACCTATCATTGTATGATGCACCTGGTTAGATTCGCCGACAAACACACATTGTAATGATGGGCAAACTTACCGAGTCATCTGCCAGCATTCGAAATGAGTCGATCATCTGTTCCACACTATCGCCTTCCCTGGACTGATCTGTCATAAAATTCATAAAGGAGTCAAACGTCACAAATCCGGTCCCGTTGGGGTCAACCGATTTCAGAATTCGCCTGAAGTCAGCTTCTCCCTGTGGTGGAGGGTGATGTGGAAATTGTATACATACACATAGAAGACAATCGTTGTGCACTTCAAGTAACGCAGAACTACGTTTTATGTCGTAGATGAGCCGGATGCAATCCACAGCAACGTGTTAGTATAATTAAACCTGGGGTGTCCAAACTTCTCGAAAGAAAGGTCACATTTCGTGGAGGTAAAAATATGTCGGGCCATATTCAGTCTGATATTAAAATAATAGCAAATATTATACATGCCAATTCTGTATTAAAACTTTTTAATCTGAATGGTAAAACTGAAAACCTGAGGTCTCTATTTTTGCTTTAGTTAAGACCCTTTTGGTAGAAATAGTCACTTGACTTTTTCTAGTTAGTTAAAAATAAACGGCACCTCCTTGATTTTTGCCAGCATCTGACGCCATTAAATTTTGTATTCATAATATCCTTACATATTTTATCTATATAATATCGTCTGTAAGAAAATATCCATGCTTGAATTTATTATTTCATGCTGAGGCCGCGGGCCAGTTCAAATGTTAACGCAGGCCGCATTTGTCCCGTGAGCCGGAGTTTGGACATCCCTGAGTTAAAGGAATCGAGTGTCACCCGCTGAACACCCTTCAACATAGCTTCTGATGCACTTACTGAGTTGAACAATCTAGCTCCATACGTTTCACCACCATCGAGGTGGCATCTTCAGTTCTTCAGGAGGATACTGAGGGCTACGTGACCAACTTTTATCCACAATTCAACCATGGTAACATTTCTTCAACCCAATTTGTCCTCTATTGAAGTACAAGAATTCTCAGACGTTCCCCATTGGTTGATCTGAAATTTCTCTCAACCCAGGACGGCTCCTTTCAATCCCATTTACGGATACCCGTATTTTTCGGGAAGAACAATTAATCCGGATGTTGTTTATTTCCCTTTTCTGTCTTATCTTGTGGTACTTGATTCGCGCAACTCAGTTGCTCTGCTTGGTGAACAAACGAACAATTAAAGTGACTTTAACCCAGCTACCGATATTTCGCTTTATGGGTTGGTCTCACTTATGAGCGCCTCGGTTTCCAGTACTACAATAAATGTTCGAACTCTGAAACCGATCGAGGATTCATTGTTTCGGATAGATTTTGTAACAATCGTTTGCTATATTTGTTTAGCAATCTCTCCTTCTTGTCGATAAAAGTTCGTCAAATCAGATGAATTGGCACATGATTGTGGGGGGGGGGGACATTTTATAGAGAACGAGAGACATAACATTGGCGATGAATTTTAGAGGTTATGTTTTTTGAACACACTTTTATTCACTGTTCATACAGGGATAGCAGCGCTTTTACCTATGGAACATGTATTTTGAGATGGGTGGATTTACACTAGCAATATCCACGAAACTGACAACCTGGAAGCCAAAGCATATTCGAATAAGTCACTTATGGATAGTGTTGCATTCTTGAATGTATCCACAAAAATGCACGGTACACATTGATAATGTACGTCTGTCGTGCTATCGACAAGCGTTCGAACTTTTCATCTTCACTGCACGTAGGACACCGGCTGATGGAATTGGTTTGTGACACCCTGCATCAAGACCCTTATCCTGCCATTGCCATGGTATCTTCGGTTGAATCATGCAATGACAGTCGGCACAAATGGCAGACCGCATCGTCATGGTGATGCCATAGAGATTATTGTAGCTACATAAGCTACCGATCAACCAACTCGTCTGTTCAACTCTACTGTATAGTTACGAAACCTGGCCCATCCAGTCGCCAGACATTAAGAGGCTAGGTACGTTCGACCAATGCTGCCTTCGCAGCATAGCTCATGTCTGGTGAGCACATCGCGTGGGCAATGAATGTGTTCGGCGTCGCGTATTTGGTGCAGGAAGAGCGAGTGAACGGCTTATCACCATTATATCACGCACCAGGCTCCGATGGCTGAGCCACGTGTTGCGCATGCCAGCATACCGACTCCCGCTACGTGCGTTGTTTGCGCGTCCGGGGTCTAGATGGAAAAGAATGAGGGGAGGCCAAGCGATGACTTGGTGAAGAGAAATGAAAACCCTCACTTCGAACATGAAGTCAGTTGATGTTTCTCGAATGCCCGGCTGAGGACCGAAGAACCGTGAACATATCTGGTTGGAGGACACACTAGTTGATATGGCAAGGAGCCGACCTCAATGGCGGGTGTGCTGTGAGTATCTTTGTTCTTCCCATCCTCTTTAGCTTCCCCCTCAAACCAAGTTCCTTATCTTGACACATTACATGCTACTGAACAGCGCATTGCCTATTTATTCCTTTCTATAATTTTTAGTATCATGCTTTTTCGTGTGTCTTGTCTTTATGTATGGAGGCACAATTGTCGCGGTGTTTCCCACCTTCGGCTAATGTGTACTGATGGCGATGATGATCAAGTAATCAACTGAGTAAACAAGTTTAGAAATGGTGTAAGAACACGTGTTATCAACACCATTGATAACGCCGTTAAGTTTAGTTTGATTACCCAAACAGGAGGAGGAATACATTGTGCAATTTAATTATCTACTCAGAAAACGGACCTGCTTTGTATTGGGGATATTATAACCAAGAGACAGTAGACATGCTCGGAAATCCAACGGCTCCAAACGTCTGGTTCGTTGACGATCGAAGTGATTGAAACAGCGTCGACACTCTTCGATTTGTTTCTCCGACACACCACGAGAATCGCGTGTCAATATCTGGTTCTCGATCTCATTTTGCGCGCGCTTCAGATTGGTCCTCAGCTGCTCCCATCCGACACGCAGTGTTCCCATCGTGTAACGTGTATGAGGGTTGTGTATAATGCGTGCCTCGTCTACTTTCTGAATTGGGGTGATTCGAAATGAAGCATAATTTTCGGTTACTTAATTACCACGATTAAAAGAATAATGACTGAACAACGCACGCAGATGTCGATTTGACCGAGTGCTACGAAGCAGAAATACGCCTAGTTCATCTAGTCGCTTGCAGGGGGCGGTGGAGTATCCTAGTATCATTATTAATCAGGTTCACTTACACACGAGTAGCCTTACATATCTGATCACACGTGGATGATGACATAAAAGGATTCTACATCCAGCACCCTTAAACAGGCCAAATTTTTGCTGGGATGCAGGCAGGCTACGAATTTCAAGTCTTCGCCTTGTGTTGATACTAATGTAATGAATAGCATGCTAGGTCAGGAATCCGAGGTGCGCTAAATCTGATCATAGGAATGGTAAATACGTGCAGTGTAGCTCACAACGTGTGCGCGATTCACGCATCGCCACCTTCTGCACATTGCAACAAAAATCACTTGATCGATTCGCACTTGGAGTGAAGAGGCAGGGACAGAGGTATCCACTGCATCCACACTGTGGGAACTGACCGAACTACCCCAAGTCTCCATCATCATAAATCACCAATTTAATTAAGAGGTTGTCCTACATTCCAACCAAATCAATCGGCAAACGTATAACACAGTTCAGGTGAATTTATTCTGGTGACTACTTGAGTCACTTCAACACATCAAACCAGCCGATATCGATGTGAATCACAGCAGCGGCAGGTCGGTTCATAGAAGCAAAACAAAGATAACACTGGAAGCTACTTCTTATACAGCTCTACTTTTTGGTCGCATTGAGGTCCCTGTCGAATTACTTTTCGTCGCACCGGCTCTTGCTGAAATGGTTTACTGGACTGCATACATCTGTGATTCATACTCTAGTGTCATAAGCCTTGTTCACCCGATCCATATTGCTGGCATATTGGACAGCTGCGTAGACTTAACCCAATTTCACATGGTATGCATAGTTTAGTATGAACTCGTCTGTAGGGTGTAGTGTTCGGAGATCTCTTCCTCTGGACTTCCGCTCTTTTGTGCTATAAATAACTTACGCAGACTTACATCTCAGCAACACACACATACAAGAGAATCGATCCGATCATGAGTAGACAGCATACATCCCCGGTTACTAACAATGTCCTGTAATGCCTTGAGCTACCTTTGTGACCGAGGTTGGTTGACTGCTCATGAAAGAAGTGAGATGTGAGTTGGCAGGTTTGAAGCAGCTATCTCGGATTCAAAACAGGTATTCGTAGTAACTAATCGCCGATAGATCTGAAGTAACTATACTCTATGACACTGTTGCGTCGAGATCGGATAGACTTATCTAGTCACAAGTTACAATGTGCTTATGCAACGGTGGCGGCCAGAGATAACGATTGTGGGCATTCGAGTATTTCTAGGATGAATGGATCCCCTTCCTGCAGGGTCACGGTGCAACTGTGTCGCGGTGTATAACATGAAGCTCACTGGTGACAAACACACTGTGAGCCACAGACCGGCCATTCTATTTCCTCACCTGGGCCCAGCGTTCAAGGTCAACCATGTTGACGTGCCACTCTTGCACTTCCTCCTCCAATCTTTGCAACCGCTGCAGTTGATCTTCCAGGGCCATGTTAGTGGCACTCAACAAGGCGTGCACAGAGTCCAACATGCGTTCCAGATAGGGGCCAGCACGGTTGGCTAGTTGCGCAAACTGTCGCCTCAGTTGTTCGTGTTCTTCCTGTCGGGCCAACTCGGTCTGTAGTTCACGATCGCGAACTTCAATCAGGCTGAGCATCGCCTGCCACCGAGATTCCAGTGTCTGTGAGAGAAATGAACATAAATAAAGGGTTAGTGAATAGCTCGCTCACACACATCAGGGGCTTAATGGTGCAAGCTGCTAGCATAAAGATATTTGGTTCCTGGTGCAGCCACTGGATGTGCGCTACGGGTGCGTCCCAGTGAGACAAACTGGCCGTCTGCCGCTTCTCTGGATACGTTGGAAGCTGTTTGGCTGGGAGATGCCGTGACGAAACCTTGATAGATTGCAGACAATGGGGAAAATTGTATTGCCGTTGTGTGCTAAATACCTGCTATGCTGTGAGGAACAGTCGCCATTTGAAGCATCTTTTTTCGACAACATTCCCCACACTGTAAACGGTAGTGATGGCGGTTAAGATGAGGTTTACCATTATGTGGTACATGACGGCTGATTTGCTCCTCCACATTAAATACCGGCCCAAAACATGTGCATTTCATGCGTGCTTATAATTGTGTGCATATAATGGTTCAAGTGAAGTGGCTCTGTCACACCACATCAGATGAAACACATGATAGCGGTAATCCGAGGAACAGAAAGTGGCACACTTTCTGACAAAAACTCGTTCCTGATTGCGGAACGAACAACCGAAAGGAACTGCATGGACAATCGATGTGTTCACATACCAACACGTATCGGCCGGGTGACAAAAGTGATCGATTCGCACACGTCTGGAACAGTTTTTGACAGATGTAACCTTTGGACGGCCTGAAATATACGCCAACCGAAATAGGATTTTTGTTCATAATGATTTTGAATTGATTGCGGATGAGGTTTAAAAAGAAGTGAGCCGAGCCGCTGAAAATAAACCAATAACACTGCACAAAACCGGCTCATTGGTTGCTGAAAGGTGTTTGCACTATATCCGCCTCCTAGCTGGAAACCGCTAGGCTAACGTTGCCTCTATTCGCGTATGTTTGGCCACATTCAACCGTGTTCCTAGCAATAGAATTGGTTGATGTGATCGTCAAGAGTAACCGGAAGCTGAACATTCTGTGCATCGAATGGATGAGGATCCTAACCACTTAAGCCCTGGAGCAGCAAGTTATGCGAGAGGATGGAATCACGTTGGTTATTCATGCCGGAAATGTTCCCTTTGCTCATTGTGTACGAGTCCAGGAATTCCACATAAAAATATCAGAAGATGAATGTTGTGGTATGACGCTGTCATTTCATGCATTCTCATCGGTCACGTACATGCAAATAACAAAAAAAACAAATTAAGATCACATAAGTGCAGTTGTTAGTCAACTGAATTACGGCTGTGTTACTCTTTACCACGGAAGGCTTAGCTTCACAGCCAGCTGTTTTTGAACGCAGAGCGCTGGGATCTGTCGATCGATAATGCAGCGGAGCTACGCATGCTTAAATCCACAAGACCACCGCTTAGGTATCCATTGAATACACCGGTGTCGAAGCAGTGTACGTTCCATTGTCTATACAACTTCACATGTAGCTGCGCAGACAGTTATGTCGGACGCACTGATCGAAATCTGTGTCCGGATCAACTAACGCATTCCGAAGTGACTTCGCAAACGGATGTCACTTGCGACGGTTTCACCGGGTGAATCGAGTAGTAAGGCTGCTTCAGCAATTACGAGGTATTTGCTGAACACCGGTCGCCAGGTAAACCTGGATGAATCATTCACAGTCATCATGCGCAACCAAAGGTCTCACATTCTCAAGCTTCTCGAGTCCATTGTTATCGATGGACAGCGCCCAACGCCCTGCGGTCAAAAACGACTGGCTGTGCGCTAAGCCTTTCGTGATATAGAGTAACACACAATCAGAATTCAGTTGACCAACAATTGGTGTTATGTGATCTTAATTTGGTTTCTTCGTTATTTGCATGTACATGGCCGATGAGAATGTACGAAATGCTAGTGCAATCCCGTCTTCTGATATCCTTAGTTGGAAGTATAAGGGGAAACTCGTATTTCAAGTCCAGGAATTACTATAAAAGGAGGGTTTGTGTGCTACAACAAGCAGCCAGAAATGGCAATTGAGATCAGGTGGAGGAAAAGAGAGTGAAGGCAGCGTGGAAGTAACAGTATGCAATTCTAGTCGAGCTTATTTTGCTTGGATCAACTTGAAAAGACTCATTCAGGGGCTTTTGATGGTAGCAGATTCATCCGTTACAGTGGATTACTGAATTTAAGTAGGTACCCGACGCACTAATGAATCTGGCCAAACGAACGGTTTTTCCTTCAGAAAGCACGCATAAGTGAACGATAACGAAAACATTTAGAATGAAGCCTTAAAACCACACACACAGCACGCTGCATAAGTGCTGCAAGATCGCACCAGTTTGCGCTCCGATCACCTACAAACCAGCGACACACCGTCCACGTTGAAAAACTAATCTTTGTAAGTTCGGTTAATAGTGTGATGGGAGTGTCATATCAGAGTGAACGGGCGGGCCAACCGAGAGAGCCAGATAGCCAATGAGAGGCAGATGTAACAGCGCCAGATGTCCAGTTCATATTTTTGGGACTCACCAGTGATACACACCTCTCGGTTGTACCAGGAACCGAACCCAAGGCCTGTCCACTCCAACGAATAAGGCCTCTAAGCCATGCTTTTTCATTTCGGTAGACAACCGTAAACACTGAGTAGGTGCCTAGTGATGGATATGGCTAATGGCTTGTATGCCGTTACCTATCCGATTATTAGACATCCAATTTTAATCAAGAGATTGATCCGTCATGGCGATATTTGGATGGACAGTGCAATGCATTGCCTTGATAGGACAAGTTTGTGTCACCTGCCTGGCTCGTGATGGGGTGACACATTCACTGTGCCGATACCAAACATTTCAAGCCACTGAGCACACCAACGAGACAACTGGCCGAACCCTTGGCTCAGTACTTCCAGCGCTGCTTAAACCAAAACTAGATTCTTGCTATGTGGAAGCTTGGATTAATAATGGTTCACAAAGGCAGAAGCGGAACCGAGTATTCAGACTACCGCCCAGTATCTCTTTTCCCTGGACTATCCAAAGTCATGAAATCCATCGTTGCCAGTACGCTAGTGTGTCACCTGTAAACCTGGAACATTATTACTCTCGAGAAGCACGGCTTTATTTCACAGCGACTGTGCACAACTGATTTACTAACCAAACGAAGTAGTTAAACCTAGTCTGCTGAGGCTGGAGAGGAACGTATTCTAATCTGCCTGGATATTCCAAGGTCCTTCGATCATCCAGAAGCTAGACTAGCTCATCGGAGACTCCTTTCCAAACTTAGTGTTGCGGGATCGGTGAATCTCTTCTAAGTTGGATCGCCAACTTGCTCCTTCGACAACAACTAGTGGTCAGAGTTCGAAACTTTTTATCTGACACCATACACGTCCAGTACTAGGTCCACGATTGTTTTTGGTGTTTATTAATAGTCCCGCACAGGAAATCGCTTCCAACGCCCTAGTATCTGCCGACGACCTCAAGAGCTGGCTCAGGATTCCGGCGCATGTTGACCGGTGTGTGCTTCAGAGTGACCTAGACACAATACATCAGTGATCAATCTAGAATTTACTGCATTTCAACGTGAGTAAACGTAAGATACTCTTCATGTGACACCATACCAATTGTTCGTACAGGCTCTGAACGCATGTACTGCCGTAATCTTCCGTCGTGTACGTGATCTGGGTGTGCTGATTCAGGAGGACAGGTTGCTCCCGGCAATCCGAGAAGGTCTCGAAAGCCGGTAACCAACACTTCGAGCTTCGGCGGCGGGCGTTCAGACAAATAAGCATCTCTATTTGCCGACGGATGCTCAGTACGTATGTCCGTCCCCATATCGAATAAGCAGTTCGGGCCCTGGTATCCATGGCCGGAACGCGACCTAAATGCTACTGGAGCAGTGTCAACATCAAGCATCCAAGTAAGTCAATGGGATGCGCAATCTATCGTACGACAGAGGCTAAAACGATTGCGGGTATTCAGCGAAACGAATTCCGATTATGAGGCCACCTGATTATGGTCTAGTAGATTCTGCAATACCCACATCATGTGTGTCACTACTGCAACTTAGCAGCGAAACAAACCTGAGAGGTTGCTCACTGAAACTCGCAATAAAGTATAGCCAGAATTTCTTTTCTTTTCGCCGTTGTCACCCCGTATCGGTTGTTTCTGCATCGACACCATCACAGGTAAGAGAACGGTTGGGTGACACAGTCATCCTCTTACACTTTGTCACTTGGCATTCTATCTCCATCCTATCCGTGGGATAAACCTTGGATTTACTTGTTGTTACCTGTGAGCGCTGTGAAACTACGCGGATTGCAAGACTACAGCGGAACCGACGATAGGCTATGCTTTCCATGCTGCTGTTTTTTGATAACTCCACCAAACCACCCAACGGGACTTGTAAAGCATTGCTCTTTAACCGTATAAATTTTTTGTTAATTGTTTATTAAATCTTAACATATACCCCGTGATTTGTCTCAAAGCGATTTAGTGCAGATCTTGACTTTTTCGGACCACTACCCAGCAGGGCTGAGTCACCAAGTAGGCCGAAAGTGAGAGCCTCTACTCGAATCCAGTGCTCAGACAAACGAGCACCTGAGGTCACCTCAATGCCAAACATACATTGCAGGCACAAAGCCAGTTACATCGGTTGGGAACTCGTCCGAAAGATGCAGAGAATATTTTGCGGGTAACGCAAAAGGAACGCCGACCAAAACCTGTCAGACCTCAGGAGCTCATCTGCATGCCACACTGTTAATATAGTTTCTAACGCCTTCACACAGACTGTCGGATGATCTGGAGTGATGTTTACGTGCAAAGTAAAAGTTAACAAAAATTTTCGCCCTTTTAATCTTACCGCCTACCTTGAATTCGTGAGGAACTGGTAAGCAGAATGGTTGTTTGAGTTATGTTGTCTCCCGAGGAATGCTGTTATATTACGAAATGAAAATTATTTAATGTATTGTCGAGCTGTGTTTCAAATGATGATAAAGTTGGCTCATAAATAACAGAACTCTGAACAGCGTTCCACGACTGACAA